ATATATATTGTTGAATCTCCTTGACGTAAAGGAAGCTTCTAGTGTAGGTGGCAAAAACTTGCTTTAGGTTGCAGGTCTGAATCTCAGGTGTTGTATTCTTGCATGCTTTTAGTAGTCCCCTTTATTAGAACTCCTAGTTCCGTCACTGCATTTCATTGGCTCGTTTATATGCTTGCCAAAGTAGTACTATCACTAAATCTGCTTGTATGTTGCAGCAACCTGATTCAGAAAGAGGTCGTACCTCGAGAAATGGAAGCTCTTCAAAAAGGGCTGCCATTTCTAGCAGCAGACCGAGCTCTTCTGGTGATCCCACCATCACTGATAGTCGCTCGAGCAGACTAGTGTCAAGCAATGGCCGCGTGTCTACCACACAGAGAATTCATCCTGGCATCGAACCAAAACCATCACCATTCTCACGTAAGGGGACACGTGATGACCCTCTTCGGAGCTTTGAGTTCCTTTCGATCAGAAAGTAAATGGCATGCACTTGTAAAGAGAGAATTTCCTGTTTATTTGGAACATTGCTATCCTATTTACGGATGTCTTTTTAAGTGTTGTATATTGAAAATGTTCTATGTGACAACTAAAGCTTATCAAACTTTTCATTATCCCTTTGTTTTGGTTTTGATTTAGAGCTTCTGGCCATTGTAAAAGCCTTTAGTCTCATCTAAAGAAATGATGAGTAAAAAGTGCTAGAGTTTTATACATGTACACTCGGATAGATGTAATAAATATTATTATTGTACCATGAATGTATCTTTTCAACTCATATACAAGTTTTTAGATTGTTTGGGAGAAGGAATTTCGTTATGGAAATTAAACACTGATGATTATAATTTGGCTGAATACATATGCGGAGCCTAGAAATGTGCCTACTAAACACTAAACCAACAATCAGTCCAAAAAACCAAATGTGATGTGGCAACCCAACCAATAAAGTAGAGACACGTCAGCCAAAAAACACAAAAAAAAACTGAAAGAAATACAGTCTAAGGAAACAATCTGCAGAACATGAAAACTGTCCCAATATTATAGAAGAGTTATCATGTAATTCTCTCAACTAACTATCCTACACAAAAGCACAAGGCAAACGCAAAGTTAATGAACTTCCGTTTAGTTTTGCATTAATTCAGAATATGTACAACAATATGTTACTAATATAAACATGCCAAAATATGAGAAAGTTGTGTTTGTAACCAGCCAACCTCCTGGTTGTTATCGCTCGATCAGTCACCTAAGAAACACGTCGTATATAGTTCTTTAGGTGGTTCACTCATGAAGCTTGGGCCAAGTTGAGCTTGCAACCACTTTAGCAAACTTGCAATACAATTCAACTTAGCTGCATTCTGTGAATGCCAGCAAAACTGCAATGTCGAATTTCCAGGACATGGTCAGTCATAGTACAATATTAAATTTAGCCAAACAATTACTGTTGTAAAACAAGCTCAGGGGAAGGATTTTTACCTCAACTGTTATCTCTAGTGTCATTCTCATAGTTATTCTTCACCTAATGATTTTATAAGACTGCGAGGCGAATGTGCCCAAATTGGAAGATCAAAAAATGGTTGTTTTACCCTTTCTTCTGCTGCAGTGCATAGGGCTTCAGCAACATCACAGCGCTTTAATATATTGCGAATTACATCTTCTCGAGCTTCAGCCTAAGTTAAGTGATAATAATGAAGTTAGAGAGCTAATGAGATATAAGGGAATTTCATTAAAGTACAAAAATAAAAAGTTGCAGCATAATTGTTGCAGCAACATCCCTGAAACACCCAGAAAATAAAAAAAAAATTTAAAAAAAAAATCTTAAGGGCCATATTTGCCCATTTAATATTGAAAATAAGCTACATCTACCCTCCATTTCAGTTTCTCAGTATAACCACCCTACCGTAATACATTTGGATCATATTTTCCCCCAAAAAGGTAGCAGTTTGTTTCTACAACATATTATAGCAGCTTTTAACAGAGAATTTGTCATCCTTACCTGCTGTCCAAATCTGAGAGTCAAGCCTATTGGCATCAAGAATCAGAGGTTCCTAATAAAGCAATAATTGACTGACTTCATTTATTTTCCAATCATTGAAATTTCTCCTGAAATTGAAATTCGGACCTGTCCCAGTATAACATCAGTCCACAACCTTGATTTTTTTTCCATTAACAAGTTCCAACCTTCAATTTGACATTCTGACCATAGTTTACAGATCATTCATTAGTACTACTGTCTGCATTAACACTGAACAGACTACTTTTGGCAAGGTTCACTTATAAACCTGAAACAGCTTCAAAAGCTAACAGAATTCCTCTAAGATGGAGAAATTGTTCCTTGTCTGCTTCACACAATAGTAGTGTGTAATCAGCATAAAGGTTATCTGAAATGATCATCCTCTTACTACCACTCCTTTCAATCTTGAAACCTAATTCACCCTGTTCCCTGTTCTTTCAGCTCTTTTAAGCATCAGGCTTAGTATTTCGGGTTGCTATTTGCTATTTCGGGTTACCAAAACAAACAGAACCTTCCGGGTTGCCATTTTATCAACAGAGAAAATCTGACAGCTCATGAAATATGTTACTCTTGCATCTCAAAAGTGCCAATACTGTTGGTCACTAATTTTTTCAGACATCTTTTCCATAATTCTTAGTTCCTACAAAAAAATATACTACGTAGGATTTTGACTAACTATACTTTCAAAAGAAAACTTTAAAAAATCAACATTTTGAATCTGCACAAGCTATTAGTATTTTCCATTGCCAATATATTCAACAGGACGGAGCCCAAACAAAATCAGAGTTTAAAATACCAGAAAACAAATGCATTAATTATAGTATTTCAATACAACATTACTACAAGTTTCAAAAGTTTTAGTCACACAAATGTTATGACATATTTAAGACCACAAACTTCAAAAGTTTTTCTTTCTTTATTAAATTTTGTATCAAGACAAACTACGACAAATAAAGTGAAATGGGTGAGTAGTTAATTTAGCTTGCACTTTTAGCCAAAAGCAATTAACATAATCACCTTTTAACCAATACTTTACTGGACAACCGAAGACGGATCAACAATGTAACCTATAGAGCCTAGTAGCTTTTGCCTAGAGCATGTATGTGTATTAACCCCTTTTTATTAGTATCAAAAATAGTGTAACAATATACTCCCTCCGGTTCACAATAAGTGTCCAATTTGCTTTTAGCACGCCCATTAAGAAAATACTAAATTCTATACAAAAATACCTACTATGACTAAACTACCCCTAATTAAACATTTAATGTGAGGAGTAAGAAGACTTTTTAAGGATATGTACATAGGGGTTATTTTGTAAAAACAAATTGAATTCTTTCTTGATTACATAACTGGACACTTATTTTGAACCAAAATGAAAAAGCAAATTGGACACTTATTGTGAACCGGAGGGAGTATTTTTTTTGTAAAGTGCAGCTTCTCTTATGTCGGTGACAAATTCTCACAGGAACAATAGGACCGTTATCTACTATATATCTATAAATATCTGAGTGTACACTCAATTATTATTACTGCCTCTATCTCAATTTATATGGCACGGACTTTGAGAGTCAAACTATATTAAGAATTTTGACTAATCTTTAAATTTTTTGAAATAATGATATACATATTTAAAAACAACATAAAACATACTATAAGTCATAATAATTAATAATTTAAAATATTTAATAGGCGTATACAAAATTAGCGGTCAAAGAAGAACTCTTTTTTTTTTTTACATATCTGTCAAAGAAAAATTGGTTTGACTCTCGAAATTCCATCAATGCCACATAAATTGGGATGGAGGGAATCTATTAACTTAAAGTCGCGGTAGAAAACCCTACCACTCAGTGCAAAAAAGAGGGTATGTTTGTCCAAATATTATTTTTACCAAAAGGGTGGCTAAATCTCGATTAGTTTTGAATCTAATTTCAGTTACCGATTCAAAATAAGATTTTTTTTCTGAATTTCTCGCTTGGAACACCAGGGCCATTATCCACTAAATATCTATAAATATTTGAGTGTGAACCCAATAATTATTAGTATCCATTAACTTGAAGTCCTTGTGAACCCCTACAACTCGTGAAAGAGACGAAATGGCAAGCAAGAAAATACCTGAGAGAGGAGCTGATCAACTGAGCTGAAACCCGACGATGACTGTAGCTGCGGCTGCGGCTCCGGCTGTGGCTGTGGCTGCGGCTGCGGCTGCGGATCACTAGTTTGCTGCTGTTGGATTTTCGAATTTACTTTCAAGTCGTTCAATGTTTTCTCCCAGGCCTCCAATTCTTCAATCTCTTTATCAAACCTCTCTGAAATTCTTAAGAGAACCCGTTTCTTCCTTTTCAGTTCAGCCACCGCCGGATTTGGCCGCGCCGGGGCGGCGGAGGTGGAGGCGGAGGTGGTAGAGCTCGAAACTTGCAGCTGCTGCGTCTTTCTCCGCTTGTAGATAAAGCCATCGTCGTTTATGACTTCCCATTCGGAAACCTCTGTAGCCATCTATTACAAAGAATTTGGGGCAAATTGTACTTTCAATCACAAACCCTAGGCTGACGTATAATATGCGAAAATGAAAAATTAAACTATAAATGAATAGACTTTGCCGCCAAATTGGCTCCCAAAATTTAAAAATAAAAAATAAAAATAAAAACCTTTTTTTTCTTTTGAAAAAGTATCTTTTTAAAAAGTAAAAAAAAAAAGGACAGTCCAGTAAGCTAAACTCCCGCTATGTGCGAGATTCGGAGAAGGGTTGGACTACAAGCGTCTATTGTACGTAGTCCAGTGCGCTAAGCTTCTGCTATGTGCGAAGTCCGGGGAAGGGTTGGACTACAAGAGTATATTGTAAGTAGTCTTACCTTACATTTTTGTAAGAGGCAGTTTCCACGGTTTGAACCCGTGACCTCCTGATCACATGGTAATAACTTAACTAGTTACGCCAAGGCACCCCTTGAAATGTGATTTTTGAAAAACGTATTTTGGTGAAAAACAGTTTATGTTTGGTCAATTAATTCTAAAAACACTTTAGCAGCAAATAGTATTTGATCAAACTTTTTTAAAAAATATTTAAGTGTATTTTCTCAAAACTATTTTTTTAAAAGTTCTTTTGGGGAAGCTATTTTTTTAGCTTCTCAAAAAAAAAGCTCTCAAAAGTATTTTTTTTTTCTTTTAAAAGAGTTAAATACATTAACTTTGAAAAAAATTACTGTTGGCCAAAATTTTTTTGTGGCCAAACAGGAAGGTATCCATCTTGACGCGTGTATCTTTAGTTTCTCATTTGTGTAACACATTAAGAGCCCGTTTGGCCGTGAGAGTTTTAATATATTTTTTCGAAAATTTTTCACTTTTTTTCGAGATCACTGTTTGGCCATAAAATTTTCAATTTTCACTTGAAGATAAATTTGAAATTTTTCGAAAATTTTAAAAACTCCAAAAGGTTATTTTTCAAATTTTTTATTCAGATCACTCAAAAAAATTCAAAAACAACCGAAAATTATATTCATGTCCAAACGCTACTCTAATTTTCAAATATCATTTTTATTTGAAATTTTTTTTCATTTTTTTCGGAATTTTACAATTCGTATGTCCAAACACTTACTAAATTAGGGGTATTATCACTTTTAGCCCGCGCCAAGAACTATTTATGTTCGGTAGCCGAATAAGTGTATAAAATTTATGTAATTTTTATATATATTTCGACTATTATTTTAAGAACGATTATACAATGTCATTTTTCAATTAAAAAATATAGTTTTTAGTTAAAAAGCTAACATCTGGAGGAAATATCTATTGTAGTAAGTCGTAACTTGAAGTCTGTCTGTCACGTTTAATTTTGATAGAAAATAACTATTGTCGTAAATTGCAACTTAAAGTAATTTATAACTAATAATAAGTTATATCAATCACATTTAACTTTGATAGAAAATCTATTGTTGTAAGTCCGAATAATGTTTCTATCATATTAATTGTGTCAATTTGGTTAATTTTTGTAGTAGTTAGATTAATAATTCGATCTTTTGTTTTGGCAACAAAACAGCTATTTTTACTGTGTGTCCAATTATAAATCATCAAAAAACTTATTTTCCAATTACATATCCTACTATTTTCTTTACTTTTACTAGTTCTTTCTTTAGAACTTGTCGAATTTTTTCTTTTGTTTTTATTGCAAAATATGTATTCATATCATAGCTTTTATTTTTATTTTCAAATTTCAAACAAGCAATTCTCAATTTCAGTCTCGTAATTTTCATTCAGTCTCGCGAGTATGACGTTAATTTTAAAGTGGATAAACTTGATGAACTTTGGCTATATTCAAATATGGGTCCTAAAATATGGGTATTTGTGCAATTGCCCCATAAATCTTTTTTGTTTTGTTTTGTTTATGGTAAACAATAAATTTGTTGTTTAAACTGCATTATGCATTCTGATCTGAAAGGAGGCAAGCAAATGAAGGGAGGCATTATGGGCTGACTACAAGAAAAGCAAAGCTTCGTTGACTCGGTCAAGTCGCTTATAGAATGCCAACGACTATTTTTCACTTATTTAATAAGTGAAGGAGAGAGGAAAGCGAGGCTTAGCGAGCTTTATAAGGCCGACCATTACATAAGCTACTGGCGGAGAAAGCTCGAGCGTAACTTCGCAACTGCTACGCCCTTGCTTCTTGCCCCTTATTTCAAACTCAAGGAAATCCTCAATCGATATGAGAGAGATGCGCTCAAGCGCCCAACCTAGTAAAGGGGCTTGGGCTCGAAAGCCGGCCTTACTCAACAAGTCCTACCACACATCCACGTGTACCACCTTTACCATTGAACCAAAACCTTGAGGTCCATGTAATAAAAGTTTCCAACACTCCATTTCCTTATCATATACACAACACTGATCAAATGTAGTTGAAGAGAGCTACCACTTTGTAGCACTAGATATATCATCTCATTCTGGTTAGTCTACTCAAGGCAGAGTGTTAGACTGTGTACACACTAGATTCCGGCGGAGAAATGCCAGGTGATTTCTTCCCTTCTGTCTAAATATTTTTGACACAATTACTCGGTACATGTGCTGGTCAAGGTAGCGGATACCAGAGGCAAACCCAGGACATGAAGGTGGCCGGGGCACATAAGCGGACTGCTCAACCAGTGTCCTATCGTACTTTTGATCTTAAGGGATTCAGGCAAAATATGTTGACTGTATGCACATATATATCTAGAATTTTTGTCGAAGTTAAATGAATCTGGTGATCCCTCTTCTGGTGATCCCTCTTCTCTGTACATAGGTCCGCCTCTGGCTACCCAGTGAATAATGAAGGAGTGGACAAGTTGATCCGAACATCACTGTCATTAAAAAATGCACACACACTAGCACACTACAGAATAGAAATTGCATGACAAGAGATGAAAGAAGAAAGCCATGCCAAGATTTTATCAAACAACTAATACATTGTTTGTAGCTTTCGGACGACAATTTATGACACTTCACCTCAAAGAATACCAAGAATTGATGCATCACATCATTCTTGGAGCAATATTATGTACACAACAACTTATGGAAATTCCTGTTTCATGTTGGAGGCAACAACATAAGGACTAGTCCAAGGTATTGAGATCAAGGATTTCTAAGTGCAGCCAATCGCTTCTCCAATTCATCAATCCCCGAACTGCCAGCATCAAGACACCAGAACAAACTTATGTGAGAGAGTTAATGAGATTACAGCGAGTAAGCTCATCGCAGAACATGAAAAATGCACTTCTTACTAATACGATTATTTACAGGAAGAGAAGAAAAATGAAGAACCGAAAAATGCACGTACTTTGATCTGTCAGCGAGCAGTGCATTCAAAATGTCTAATAATTTGCTAGAGGATGCTGTAGTACTTGAAGCGAATTATACTATTTCGAGAGACGAAGCCAGCTTATGGATTCGATTCTAAATATTTTAAGTTACTGGGTTACAAATTAATAATTTGTACATGCTCTTTGAATTTCTTAAGACAAATACATGGTTTATACCAAAGTTACTGGGTTTGACCGAACCCATAACTTCTACTCTCCCTCTGCCCCTGACTATTTTCCCTGACTATTTAATATAAGAAAAGTTTTCTTATGAGTGAAGAAACAAAGTGCGCTTAGCTTTCATAAATGAGTTTTTACCAAGTGAAGACTAGAACAGCTTTAACTAGGCTCGCGATCTAGAAGGTAACAAGGCCAAGGCGATTTCTAGTGAAGGACACATGTTAGTGAAACCTGGCTTTCTAGGTTCCTTTTTTTTTTTTTTTCTGAATAGCCGAGAAATATGCCTTTTCTAGCTTCAAAACTCGGTGGATACTGAGCCCCTTCCCTCTATCCTTCTCCATGTAAATACCAAACTTAGTTCACCAGTCGAATTCGAACTCATTACCGCCTACCACATATCCTTCTGCGAAACCTTTACTGTTAAACCAACGCCCTAAGCTTCTTCTTTTTCTTTTTTTTTTTTTTGGCTCCATAAATTTATCTCTTGAAAAAGTATGCGAGTGAAGGAAAAGGGCAATAAAGTAACAAGTAGACCATATGAAAAGAAAATGAGAATGAACCTGCTTGATTCCTCGGTCCTTTTTCCAGCAACTTTCCCCTTGGGAGCCGTTGACAGCTGTCAAGATTAAAACATGGGATTGTCAATTTAACACGGTAGTTGCCCGACGTCAAACTACTTTCCTTCTCGTAAGTAAGAAGAATAGTTGTTTCACTATGAAACATAATTAGAAACTAACCTGTGAGGCAACATCGACTCCAATTTCATCAAGGACCTGCAAAAATAAGATCAAATTAACTTGCAAGAAAACAATAACTAGCTGTTACCCATGTGTTATAGATATTAACATGTAAATTTAAATGCACTTCAATAATTGTTTGATTCCTAAAAATAAAAGTCTACATTCAATCTTAGTTCCATAATAAAAAGAGTCCAGGCTAACACATTTATTAAGAAAACATCGATCCTGAAGAAAACCAGAATGCTATCTGAACAATCAAAACTTTATACAATATTTTCAATTAAATCAACTACTAAGCTAGCATAAAGTAAACACACCCACTAACTTTTTCCAGTCATAAATCATAATTGAAAGGGGCTTTTAAGAGCATACCTGGTTTGTCAAATCTTCAGTTTCCTCTTCCGCTTCGTCATTATCTATAGCATCATCTATGGCGTCTGACATCATTTCAGTCTACAAATACAAACACCAACTATTGAGGTGACTTGTAACAATATGAGTTGACATGAAGGAAATATGATTTTATTTGAAGATTTAACAGATAGTGTGCGATCAATCAGTCTTACCGTCATATCCAATTGAGCTGATTGCCTCTGGAAATCTTGCATCACCTTCGCTTGCTTCATGGGGTCCATTTGCTGCATAAAATCAACTGATAATTATGAGAAGGAATCAAGAAGATGACTTCACATATAAAGAAATTGACGAGCAATATATGAAAATAAACCAAATAATGGAAGCGATGGAAGAGGAGCAAAATTGACACAAAAAAAAAGGTGTAAAGAAACACGAGAGAATCAAACTGCCAGATCCAATATCAACCACATC